GTACAGGATTGAAATATGTCGGTAGTTTTGAAAATTTGTCATTACGTGTACTAAATGGTACTAAATTTGGTACAGTTTAGATCAGAGTGAATGGATAGAGATGGACAATTTAAATTTGGAATGCAAATCACAGGATTAAGGTAGTATTGGAAGCACTAAATGGCACTAAATAGGGTACAATTCATTTTGTGTGAGCGAGAATCCTAAAATTTTGAATCAAAATTAAGGGTGGAGTGTAGAATTGTGATATGGAGGTAGTTTTGAAAATGCATGATTATATGTACTAAATGGTACTAAGTTTAGAGCAATTTGGGATTTAAATGAAATGATAGAGAAATAAATAAAAAAATTATATTTGAAAATAAAATTACTGTTAGAGTACAGGATTGTGACAATATTGAAAATTCAAACTTAAAGTATGAAAATTACTAAATGGTACTAAATATGCTGCAATTTGGATTTATGTGATTAAAATTACTGTTGGAGTGTGGAATTGAGGAAGTTTGATAAAATCGTACTTACATCTACGAAAAGTAATAAATGGTACTAAATTTGGTTGTTGGTGAATGGATCGACCTGGAATCCTTAAATTTGGACTAAAGGTTGTTATTGGAGACAGGCTGGTGTAGATTTAGAAATTAGTACTTATGGTTACGAAAAGCAAAATATGGTACAATTTGGACTTCGGTGAACGGGTAAAAATAGAATCCCGAAAGTTGCAACTTAGGTTACTGTGGGAGTTTTAGATTTTTGGAATATGGTTGAAAAGTACAGAGTGGTACCAAATCTGGTACAATTTGGTTTTTGATGAACAGGCAGAGTTGGAATTCTTAAATTTTGACTTACGATTACTATTTGAAATCAGGATTGAGGCATATTTGGAAACTCGTACTTATGAGTACGAAAAGTACTTAATTTGGTCTTTGGTGAAATTAATTAAGTTTTAGAAATTCTTACTTATGAGTATGATGGTACTAAATTTGGAACAATTTGGATTTGGTTGGAACCTGAGATTTGGAATTTAGATTACTGTTGAAGTATAGTAGTGAAGACTCGAATTGGTGTTATGAATAGTAAATACAATAGCAAATGCACTAAATTTCGATTCGGAAACCTAAAGTTTGTTATATGGGTCACTGACGGAGAGTTAGAAAGAAGTACCAAAAATGTGTTTATACTAACTGGTACTAAATTTAGTGGTGGTGGTATGGTGGTAGACTTGATAATGTGTAATTATGTGTTCGAAAAGTACTAAATGGAAGTAATTGCGGGACCTGTACGTATTTGCTAAAATATATAATTGGAGTTCTGATCTATTTATACCCCTCACCACACTGTGGTACAGAAATTAACCCTTGTGCATATGTTTGTAACAGGCAAAAGGAAGCGAGATAGACTCATGGTTCCTTTTGAGAATATGCATAGAATCAAATTCTATGTCGATTTATGCATGTCCGTCTTTACTACATTCCTTACTGGTTTTAATATGTTTAATAGAAGTACGAGAAATTTCGGAAAATAGTGCTTATGTGTATGAAGAGTACTAAATCGCAAACTAAATTACAACAAATTTATAGTATTCACGATGCCATATGAAATATTTTATGTATTCAATTTCCGCATACGAAGTAGCGGGCACTTTGCTAGTACATTTAATAAACAAAATTGTCGTAATCCTCAAGTTAGAGAAGCGACTGTTCAGTGCTTAGACGAAAATGTCGAAGGAACGACTGTCACCGTCAATTCGGAACGTTATGGTCGTATGATAACCGGCTTATTTATTATAATAATAAAATTTATTACAGGTTTTTTTTAAAAAAATATACTTTTTTCTTCAAAAATATCAAAAAATAAAATAATTTTTGAAAGAGACAAAATACATGTATAAAGTAGACCACGGATATAAGAACATCAAAAAAATCGAGGAATTTGGCCTTATAAGCAGGGGTTTCTTATATGAATGTATTCTGTTTTCTTATATGGGAAATTTCGGAAAATAGTGCTTATGTGTATGAAGAGTACTAAATCGCAAACTAAATTACAACAAATTTACAGTATTCACGATGCCATATGAAATATTTTATGTATTCAATTTCCGCATACGAAGTAGCGGGCACTTTGCTAGTACATTTAATAAACAAAATTGTCGTAATCCTCAAGTTAGAGAAGCGACTGTTCAGTGCTTAGACGAAAATGTCGAAGGAACGACTGTCACCGTCAATTCGGAACGTTATGGTCGTATGATAACCGGCTTATTTATTATAATATTTAAATTTATTACAGGTTTTTTTAAAAAAAAAATATACTTTTTTCTTCAAAAATATCAAAAAATAAAATAATTTTTGAAAGCGACAAAATACATGTATAAAGTAGACCACGGATATAAGAACATCAAAAAAATCGAGGAATTTGGCCTTATAAGCAGGGGTTTCTTATATGAATGTATTCTGTTTTCTTATATGGGTGGAATATTTTCTTATGCCAGTATTTTTCTCATAAAAGATTTTCTTATATCCATGGTCTACTGTACACCTATATACTTACTTTTGTTATTAACTGTATATATGCAAAATTACAAGTCTACCATACAATTTATAATTTTACATTTTTTACAATATTATGGTACACAATCAATAATTACAAATAGTTACCTGTATTTCATCAGATGGCTGGGAAATATTACGATTTGATTTTGTCTCATAAAACCATATGTTGGAACTGTTCGGTTCAGAAAGACGACATGTTATTGTACCGTTTGATCCAATCAATAATGACAGAGTTTCTGGTTCCATAACTAAAACGATAAAACAAAAAATGTAATTTTTAGTTAATTCAGTTAATGTAGGAATATGGTTTCTGTGGTTTCTGAGGTCTAAAGATTAAAAAAATAGTCCTGTGCTATATTAATGATATTAAATATCTTTCATGAGATAATACAAAAACTAACCGAAAATCAACTATGCAGGTGGTGGCTTCTTCTGTAAAATATACAAAAATACTCGACGAAACATGTATGAAAGGTAATAAATCATTACCTTTCATACATTCAAAATCCAGTAGGGAATACCAAGACATGTTATTTTCATCCATAGAAAACCCGTATTCGTACATAGTAACAAGATAAAAATTAAAATTTTCTGATATCCCTTTTGTTTTATGACCGCCCGTAAACTTTATGACCATGAATTCGAATATTTAGGAGGTTAATTCGGGTGCAATTTGATCACTTTCCGCTTTTAAATTTTCTGGTTCCTCGCGTTCCTGATGCTACAATGTTTCAATTTATTTTTCAAAACTGACCACAAATCCTCAATAGGATTAAGATCTGGCCTTTGAGGTATTGGGGACACTTACACAGGATTCAAAGTTTGGAATCTAGCGCTGTATCTATAGGATCCAGTTGCAATATAAAGTCTCGCGAGATCCCCATTTTTACAGCACCTTGCTTCAAGTATTGCTTTAAAATCCCCCCATTTTTTATGCGTTCATTCGATATTTTTATATTGAATTTTGACTCTTCCGTAGAAACAGTTCTTTTCCAAAAGTTATAGTCCTATTTTATAAAAGTTGCACTGATTTTGATAACACAGTACTCAACAATAAACAAGAGTAGCACAGACAAAAAAAATTTGTTCGTCAATCTCGTAATTACAACAAGAACATAATAACATCACTATGAATACGGGTTTTGGTAGCAATAACATGTACACAGCGCCATCTAACTTTTAATTCGCGAAACAGGATGCCATATTTTTGTGTGTCCTTTTTGACATTAATGAACAAAATAAATTTCATAAATTGAAATTTTACTTTACATACCTTCAATTATTTATGATAAACCTACTGGTTTGGTATATAATTTAGAGTTCAGGTCTTTGAATTTATTTACATTTTATACACAAATTGTCGCTTATTGGCGTTTTTATTCTTAACGTCGGAAGCCCCCTATATCTCGGGATTTACACAAGCAACTTTTGTAAGCAATTCTGCTTAGTTCTTAGAAGAGAAAGGGGAAGAAATTCACACAGAGAGCTGCATCGGAGTTGCTGTAAATTGTCGCATGTGTAAACCCGGACTATATGTTTTCACAAATTATTTTCTCAAGAAACATTTTGTCAAGTCTTTAGGGATTTTATGTCTTTGTATTGGGCGCATGATATACAAAATCGAACTGATTCATTTTTAAAATGAGATCTTTTTGTTGCTAAACATTTATTGAAATTAATCACATATATTTTGTGAAGCAGTACATTGAGACGTGATATATATTAATAGTTCAATTTGCACGTAGTAAAAAAGTATGTTTTTATATACACTTTTTTTAATAAATAATATTTTTTATTAATAAATAGGGCATGCAAAATAAGATGAATTTATAATGATTTTTTTTAGATAGTGCGTCTATATAGAATCCCGAGGAGAAAATCTGACTAGGACCTTCGAAACATATAAGGTAAACAATGCGCGGCTCAAAGGTTTAATGGGGGGAAATATAGTACGACATTTTACCAATTTTGCAATTTTGGCAAGGCAGTCTTAACAAAACTGGCATTACATTCTCTTATGTCTATGTCTAACTTCTGATTAGCTGTTGAGTATTTCATTCCTTGCTGTGTATTTTTCGATATTTTACTAGCTTTACTATGCAAAAAGTACGGGAACAAAGCAAATATATTCGCATAACTATTGTAAAACTGGTAAAAAATACCACAAAACCAGGTGGGTGTGTGGTCTTCAATAAGCCTCTGATTGTGGTTTACTACTCATAACATTACTGTAGTAATGCGTTGTACAATAACATGATGGCAATGTAATTAGAATAAATAGGGAACAACATTTGAAATATTTATTAAAGTGACTAAAATACTTGTCTGTTTACTTTATACACTATTCTATGGTATATACTGTGGGTTGACACATTGTAACGCTAGGGGTTCAATGACCTATTTTAACTATAACCTTCTATAAATTGTTTATATAATTTATCCCTTTTTACTTACGTCCAGGAGGAGGCACAGGCGACGCCGCCGATGCCAATCCAGCGAATCCATTATGTGACACTTGCCACTGCAGCAATATAATCAGAAGTGTAGTGGTCCGTAACAGCCAACAAAAGCTGGAAATAAAGAATATGAGATGAACATATTAATTAGGCGATTGCAGGAATGGTGACGATGTTCTGCATTTAATTGGCTTGTAGTGACAGACACACGCCGAATGTCAATAAATATACGGCAATTTGACGAGTTTGTAAACAAATGCTATGGAAAATATAAATCAGTTGCATTGTTTTATTTATTGTCATTGGTAATAACCATTTGTGGCTAGATGGATCGATCAAATTAATAATACCTTAATAACAGCACTTTTTAACAAATTTTAAATTTCTTTATAAGATTAACGGAAATAAAACTAGGAGGTCTAATTTCTGTTACACTACTTCATTGTACGTTCAAACATTTACGCTTCTCTTAAATTCTATGCTTCGAAGTTGTTATCGAAAATTTTAAACGAGTGCACAGTCTGACCGCAATCCGTTATTTGTGGTTTGTTTAAGTTTTTAGAAGAGAATGGTTAATGATAATTACGCCTTGAAATACAGTAAAGTACGGTTATAGCGAACTTGTAGGGACCAGGCGAAGTTCGTTATATCCAAGTCAAGTCAAAACCAAGGATTAACAGAAAAAAATAGATTAAGTTAAAAAATATGTAATTTCTGTGTTCTTTTTGGCAATATTTTAGCTGCTACTCATTTCCGTTGATGAACCTGACATTTTTGCAAAGTTTGACAGAGTTTGGATACAAATTTAACTTATGTGCGGATTGTCATCGTTAAGTAGTATGTATGTATATTTGTAACAATGAAAACTTAAAGTTGGGACCGAAAAAATAGTTTATTATAAAGAAAGTTCGTTATATCCGTAGTTCGCCATACGAGTAGAAATCTTTACTCTTATGAAAAATCTGTCCTTAAACTTTGGGACCAGAAAATGTGTTCGCTATAAGGAAAGTTCGTTATAACCAGTGTTCGTTACAAGCGTACTTGACTGTATTAAATCGTATTTGAAATTAAAAAAGGGTCGTCGTAATTAAGTCAAATGTGTGTGTGTGTTTTTTGGGGTTTGCGATTTATTTAAAATGTTTTTTTCAGTGAATTTTTATTTTTATTCGTAACAAATTCATTTAAACCACACAACACTTCTAAATTAGGATTTCTTTCCAGACCCGTCTATGATTTCTTTTTCACGAGAATTAGAATCAAATGGTATTTAGAAAGAATAAATAGGAATATGTATGCATTTGTGTAGGCTATATATTCGAAATATCGTCATATTAGTTCATCTAAATATGTATGATGTACATATATTTATTGAATAAGGTTATGGAGAAAGAGCACACCATACCTCCACAACTCACATTTTGGTGTGAATTTTTTATGTGAAAGTGGTCGGGCTAAGTTCAGTTTATTTTTTTAAATATTAAAATATTAAAATTTCTAAACATTTATTGTCCCAAGAAGAGAGGTTTTGATAATTTCAAGGCCGTATTCCAATGGCATGAATAATATACATTTCAAGATATGCTGTGAGACACGAATCAAAGGTAATCAAATCTTCTAAATAAATAAACAATAGAGCTAACCACGCTAAATATCAATATTGGTAATTCAAACATTTTTACAAACCAATTGGGATACTTGAAGGAATATTTCATACACATGTATCTAAAGTACATTAGGGTGATCCTAAATTATTCATAATAGCAAGATAGAGAAAACGAATATCGGGTATGTTCTGGAATACACGGTGAGTTTTTTTTATACTTTACACATACACTTCCCCTCAGAAATTACCTACTGTTCTGTTTTTCACGTGAATTTAAATTTTCGAACTTCTGCACAACAAAAACAGACGTCAACATAGTACTTTGCAACAATATTGTTGCTATATGATTTAAATTGTTTTTTTTTTTAATATATTCTTATTCACAACATAAATTATCGGGTATGTTCTGGAACTCACGGTGTGTTCTTTTCACTTCACACATACACTTCACCTCAGAAGCTACCTCCTGTTCTGCTTCTCACGTGAATTGAAATTTTGAACTGCGACAAAAATAAACGTCGGCATGGTACTTTGGAGAAATAGTGTTGCCATACAATATAAACTGTATTCGATTTTTACATTGTTTCTATTATATTTTAGTAATTTTGTAAATTCTAACGATAATTTTATAATTATTTTTTTTATATTTTATTATTCGCAACATAAAATATATGTATGAAAAACTCTGTAATATCATTAATTTGTTAATTGATTTAAGGGGAACATTTGGTAACCCTATCTTCCTCGGCCTTACTTCAAATCAGCTGTTTATGTCAAGCAAAAAATTCAGTTGAAGAAAAGTCAAGACAAAACTAAGTATCTATTTAAAATTTGTTTTTAATGGCGTTTCATGTATATTTTGTGATTTTAAACAAATTATATGCAATAATAACATATTATTCTATCATTATGTCGCTTTTTTATTTCAAAAAAGATTTTATTTTATATAGAAAAACTTGAATACACCCGACTCTCACGATGAAAATGTAAGTGTAAAGAATACACCTCAAATGGGTGTAAAGTGTGTTACAGAACACCTCGGCGTGAGTTCGATACACTTCTGCCGTTGAAGTGAATGCCAGAACATGCCCGTATATATATTAAATATCATGTAATCTCATTAATTTGTTGATTAATATAAGAGAAACATTTGGTAACCCTATCTTGTTATTTCAAGTCAACTGTTTGTGTCAAGCGAGTGATTCATTCGAAAAAAAATGCAACACAAACCTTAGTATCTATTAAAAATTTGTTTTTAATGGGTTTTCATCTTAATTTTATTATTCTAAACAAATTGCACACAATAATAACGTATTAATCTATTATCATGTGCATTAGTTATTTTCAAAATAATATGTACTCTTTTATATAGAAAATACATAAATACACCCGACTCTCATTATGAAAATGTAAGTGTAAAAAATTCACTTCAAAAGGGTGTAAAGTGTGTTACAGAACATATCGACATGTGTTCGATACACCCAATAAAAAACAATTTTAAATAGATACTAAGGTTTGTGTTGCATTTTCTTCAACTGAATTTCTCGCTTGACACAAACAGCTGATTTGAAGTAAAGCCGAAGTAGATACGGTTACCGAATGTTACCCTTAAATCAATCAACAAATTAATGATATTACAGAGTCCTTCATACATATATTTTATGTCACAAATAATAAAATATTAAACAATAATAATGAAATTATAGTCAGAATTAACGAAATTATTAAAAAGTGACAGAAACAATGTTAAAGACGAATACAGTATATATTGTATATCAACACTATTTCTGCAAAGTACAATGTTGAAGTTTATTTTTGTCGGAGTTCGAAAATTCCAATTCACGTGAGAAGCAGAACAGGAGGTAACTTCATAGGTGAAGTGTATGTGTGAAGTGTAAAGAACACACCGTGAGTTCCAGAACATACCCGAATACTAAAATTTGTGCAAACATAATTATGTAAACAAAAAATTATCCAAAACTATCTTTATATAAATACATAATCAAAAATATAAATAAATATAAATAATCAATAAATCGACCCTATAATTAAAACTTCGAGAGTATGCTTTAAAAAATCTCAGAAATACTGTATTTTTTAAGACGATCACGATATGTCTGCTACACAACTTGCAACAATGTTAAATTTCTTAATACAATACAAATTTTCCTTCACAATATCAAACAATAAAATAATCAAAATTTTTAGATGCTTGCAGTACGGGAACATACCAAATATTAGGGAAATCTATAATATAACACTATTTGAACTGCTGAAGAAGCCTATTAAAGTATGTACGAAACATTAAATATATTTAATGTAGGTGGCAAATTATTATACAATCGAGTTACTCTAACTACAAATGAATCAGCAATTACACATGCAATTCGCGGTATTAGCAACTAACTGTTTCTAGTAGAATCAGAAAACTGTTAGGCTCCTATGAGGAAATGCGGACTTTGAGAAACAATTAACTTGTAAAACCAAAGCGTCAATCGACAAAAAATGACAAATTGACATTCCAGAAATTTGTGCGCATTCGCCGAAATATAGTCGATTATATATATATATATATCGAACAGCTCTGTTCAACGACAGCAAAAGCCCTTACTAACCGCTCTTTGACAAAAAGTGGCAAAGTTAAATCAGTTCCATAAATATATCTTAGAAACCAATTAACTCTTGACACTAACCGGTTTATATGTTGCCTAAAGGAAAAATTGTTATCCAAAATAACACCAAGACATTCAAGCTCCCTAACAAACTAAATAATACCATCATTATATTTAATATGAACACTCACATCACTGAACGTGTAAAATAAAAGACCTTTGTTTTTTAATGGATTAACCCGAAGGCTATTACCATGTATCTAATCACGCAAAAACTCCATCACTAAATCTATTTGGTGCTTCAACACAGTAGCAAAACGACTATCATCTTTTAATGCCAGCTGATGTCAAGCCAAATTTTCATATTTTTTTTGGGAATGTTATTTATATTTCTGAAAAATGTTATATAACATTGACATGTTTCAAGATATTAACATGAAATGACGGTAATTAAACATATGGAAATGGTGATTATAATGAATATTAAATTTAACATTAATTTGAAGATAATCATGGTAAACAATTTTTGTATTTAGAATCCATAAATATTTTTTCAAGAAAATTTGTCTTTCAGAATCTTTGAGTTTCTGTCCGGAATTTGCGACCATCAGCAAATATTCATAAATATAAGTATTATTGCCGATAATTTAAAAATATTCATTGGAAATTTCTTGTAAAAATTTAAAGAAAATAATTTTTCTAACAGAGCATGCTAAAGATAAAATTGAAAAGATATTAAGGGATAAACACATACGAGGATTCAGGCCTGGCCTGTTAAGTTGGCTTTGTATGAAATGTCAATTTATAAAGGAATATCAGAGTCAATTTTGATTT